GCCTGGTATAAATTCAAAGTGTGGGAGGAAGGGATACGAGAAGGAGTGTAGGGGCCCGGAGAGGCCGTGGAGGATCTGCAGGAAAGAGGATTCCGAGGTGGGGACCCAGACTTTCTGGGGCCTGTGCGCCTGCAATTAAACATAGCCAGAGCGCGCCCCCTAGAGGTGGTGGGACACCAGGACGCGCAGAGAATCACGCTGGTTATAAATGAGATTTGAGCCGCAACCCTGAGGGGCAGCATGAAAACTCCCAGCAAAATTTAGTTTTCATTCCCAAAGTAGCCCAGCGGAGCACAACTGCAGTTGTAACTGGTCACCTGCCTGATCCGTCACTCCGGAAAGCAGGTAAAAATTACTGAGTGTAAAAGGGGAAAAAATAGAAACAAAATCTTTGTAAATAGGGAAAGGTGGAGGGGGTGAAGGGAGGGCAGGGGAATGGGGAAGAAATAAGAACCAAGATACATCTTGTAAAGGTACAAGATCCCAGTGATGGATGTAACTGTACTGTACACCTAACAAGTACCAGTAAACTTAGTGGGGAAAAAATGCCTGTGTATAGCAGACGGGTAGACTGAGCTCCACACAGAGTGTTTTCCACGGGACCATAAACCTCTCAAGCACATTTGTGAAGAAAACAAGCACACTAAATAAAGAGCATTGTTGGAAATGTCCTTTGGCCTGCGTGCACCTTCACAGATACTTGGAATCGCCCACACTGGGATGCATGATATTTTAGAACGACCAAGCAGAGGGAAGAAGTGTGGGCCTGGCAGTGAGTCTCTGGTAAGACCCTAGGAGAAGGCGTCTGAATGAAGGGCAGCCTTCAGTCTGGTTCGGAGCTTTCCGAGAGGGAAAGGGGAAGGGAGGCAATACGGTCACAAAAACTCTTGCTTTGAAATCATAGGACAATTTACGTGGAACTTTAAAATAGTACAGACGGTAAAATGGACACTTTCAGTGGCAATTTTTACACAGTATTTTCAAAATTACAATTAATTTATAAACATTATTTGTACATGAATTAGTTACCACAAAGAAAGCAAAATTAGTCTTATTTTAAAACAGCACTTTCTCTTTTTTGGACAATCTATCATTAAAGGAGCATCATCAGTAGAATACATTGCATTTATTTTCCTTTGTTTTAACTCAAAAACCACATACATTTTCTGCAATAGACTAGTCTGCTATATTTTGTTGGAATGAGAGGCCTGTGTTATTTATCCGCTGCTTGGTTGGAATCGTCTTTGTCTGTGGGAAAGTGAGCGCCTGACAAATTACTGCATCTAAGTGTTTAATGCCACCCTGGAAAATGAGGAACAGGAAGAGAAAGCCCCGTGACATCACTGCGCCTCTCTCCCCTTATAATCCAGGATCAGGTTCCCCACACAGAAGACACGGTCAGCACTCAATCCGAATCAAAGCACCAACACCGCATGGATCCAGTTCATTCTAATCTCCACTGAAAAGGCGGTGGAGAGACACTTAGGCAGAAGTGAAGTCAGCACAATGTCTCCCCTTCAAGTGCGGCCCAGCTTTCTGAGCGTGGCTGTGGGTTTCGGCCTCCTCCTAATTCTCCTTGATGCAAACAGAAGGGTTTCACAGCACAGAAAGCAGTGGTGTGTGAGGCTGGGTCCTGCCAGCCACACAAGAGAACTCTGTTCATCGCCTTCAAAGTGACGCGGCGCTGGCCGGGCCGCCACTGCGACCGCATGTGATACAGCCTGCAGCTCTGTAAAGAGGATTAGCCTGAGGCTGGGAGCATTCAGGCTGGCTGCGTGTGGAGCTGCCTATGCTAATGAAATGGTAATGTCTACGGCAAACATTGCGTAATATCCAAAACCCTCCAGACCCAGCTTTGTGTCCTGCACAGCAGGGACCCAAACTTTATCATATCAGAGGAATGAGTGAAAAAGAAACAACCTTACGCTTTTTGTCTTATGCATCTGCTTTGATAAAAAGTGAAGTTAAATATATGTGTGCACATATATTAAAACTCAGTTAAATTTCTATGGCAGTAGAAAAGTCAGATCTGTGAACTCACTAGATCTGTGCCCAGGGATGGATATGAAATAATTCGTCTTTTTGTAAAACGATGTATGCACACATAATGTAGATTTTTAAATACACTCAAGGTTACAAAGGGTTTGTAAAGTGGATTTTTCCCTCCCACTTCACCTTAAAATTCCTTATTTGTAATTTTTCACTTTTTGCTTGCAGTGTTCTGTTCAGTATTGGCAAATGCTTAAGTCTTCGCTACAGTTCTCTCACACGGTGTTTTTGCTGCTTCCTAGGAAGTCCGCGTGAGATGGGAGAGGTTCCTAAAGCTGTACACGCCCTTGGTTAATGTTAGAGTGACTTCCACTTTGGGTGCAGTCAGAGGGTCTTTGCCATGGGGCAGGAGATCTTAGAAGGCTTGTGACTCGCAATCCAGGCAACCCTGCGTTACATCTTTGAATCCATGCACATGGTTCCCAAAGACTGAAAGTCCCTGAAGATTTTTGTCTCGATTGCTGGGAAATAAGGATCCCAGCAAACACATGGAAGCAGAGACTCTGGCCCAGTTTCCAAGCGTGATCTTTCATTAGTTACCAGCATTTCGCTGCACTCAGCTGCGCGGCTCAGGCTTGGGTTTTGTTGGGCGGTGGCGTGTGTTTTCCATCGCAGCTCTGGAGGGATGGCGATGCATATTCATGAAAGGGCGCTCTCGCAGCCCGAGGCTGACAAAGCCCGGCTGTTCCTCAGGGAGTCCATGGGGCGGTGTGGGGCACAGGCCAGCAAGCCCTTCCCCTGCTAGTGAGGCTGGCCTTCCTGACAGTTTCCCCAATTGTCACTGTGACAAGGCTGTCATGAGGTGATGGCTTCTTTTGGCCATTTTCAGATAAAGATAATTTCCTTAACTTCCATTTTATTTGACGACAAGCAGTTTGGGAGAGAAAGGAAGTGCTTCGGCAGTTTACGGATTAGGGTTTTGTCACTTCAAAGGCATCTTTGATCTAAAAATATGTGCTGTACCAAATTCATTATGTCTTCCCCTAAAGAGCTTTTAAATTTATTGATCTTCTCCTCAATTATTCTCCTTTTCCGTCCCATGTTGCTGTGTGAGATGTCGGGAAGGGCCTGAGGAGGCTGTGGGGCCCGCGCAGCCGCCTGGTCACTTCTAAGGTCACTACAAGAACGAACAACAGGTGCTTTTGTTCAGTCCGGGTTCTCTTCTGAGCCTGTGACAAAGGCCTCTCTGCTGTCTGTGGCTCCACATGCTGACACTGGTGCCAGCAGTGAGACAAAACTATATTCGGAAGGCCACTCAGTGAAGCAAAAAGTTCAGTTTGTGCAGAACTTGTGCCTCCAACCATTCTACCCTCCTTCCTGTGACCATGGGCTTCTCCAGTGATGCAGGAGCACTGTGCAGAAGGGAGCAGCTGCCTTCTGGACCCACGATTAGCTTCTGCTAGAAGCAGTGTAACTTGTGTCATGGTTTTGCCTGAGTTTGTATCATCGGATAGGGAGAGGATCACACAGGGTGCAAACAGGAGGAGAGAACCCGGTGTGAAATTTTACCTTCAAGTACAGCAAGAAGAACATGTAAGCTTGGACAGAGGGGTCTCCAGCTTGGAAGGCACCTGGCCCTCTCTGTCCTTTCTTGGTGGTGAGGGTCTTGGGGACAAGGCTCCATGGAATTGCTGTGTTTTAAATGACGCCTAGGACAAAAGGGTGAATGGTTTACCTCAGAACTATGCAATCAACCACTGTTGTCTACAACTTCAATACAATAATCAATTTCGGAAGCACAAGCTACCCCTTCCCATTCCTGCAGCTGAGAGAAAGGACTGGAACAAACAGCTCCATTTCGGTTTTCTCGGTTTGAGTGTATTCTTTTCCTTGCGTCTCCCCACTCTACTTCACAGTTTAGAAATGTCCACATAGTTTTGATACCTGGTTCATTTCAATAGATCATAATTTCAAAACTTACACATTACAGAAAGTTCGTTTGTTTGTTTGTTGGGTGCTAGGGATCAAATCCAGGGCCTCACCCGTGCTAGGAGAGTGCTCTGCCCCACAGCTGCACCCCCAGCCCAGAAACGTGTCATTTTGTTCATTTTAGAAATACGTAATTTCTAAAGCATCGCCTCAGGTTCCTGAATGCAGTGAAAGTTGCTTCTTTTGGAAAACCAGCTTACTAAATTTCCAAAAACTAGTGCAGTCTAACATAGCGTTAGCCGCCGCTTTGAAAAATGCGTTGAGTGCTTCCAGGCCTTCTCTGCGGGCCTTGCCTTCTTCTCATCACACACGCAGGCAGGAAATGGCTCCCACCTCAACGTCCACGCGTTTGCCGGGGTTGCTCTGAGAGGGAGAGACAGTATAGTTTTGCAGGGGGAACGTTAGGCACAGAGAACTCAACTAACTTGCTGTTGGTGTCTGGGATTCGAGAAAGGCAGAGCTGAGTTCAGACTTGGGTACTGCAGACCCAAAGCCCTGTTCCTAGCACAGGGCCTGGAAGACACAGGACCAGGACTGCAGCCCAGGCCCTCTGCTTCCTGCCGATTCTGAATAATCCAGGACAGCTCCTGTGCCCCTGCCATCCCCGATCCTGTAGTTCCGCTCCCTGCCCCCACGGCCCAGGCAGACGCCCCAAGAGGAGCAGAAAAGCAGTTCTGGCCTCTGCCCTGGCTCTCTGGTCTCCTTGCTGCCTGCACGAGTGACGAGGAGGAGGACGACGGTGCCTGAAGACAGTTGGCTCGGCGATTGCTGCGCTGCGCTGTCTCCAGGAACCTTCCTTCACCACTCCTCAGGGCCTCTGGTGTCCCTTCCCTTGGGTTTGTTTTAACCGGGAAACCTGAACTCGTGATTTCCTTGTGAAAACTGCAAACGTCCCCCTGGAGGGGAGCTCTGGGTTCTGGGGGGACCTCTGAATGTCTCACGGTCGCCTGCTTTGTGACGTGTGTGCACCGCAGAAGTCCACAGACAGCACCACCCCCCGCCTGCCCAAGGAGACAAAAGTAAACACCGGTCTCAAAGCGGGGACGCTGAAATATGATATCGGCTGCGAGAGAGGGCTGGCTCCTCCCGTCAAATGAGAAAAACCATATTCTCCTCCCGGTGGTATACAAATCGCTTGTAAGCCACATTCCCCGTTTGAATGACCACAATGGAAGGCTAACCTCGGGCTGCGGGCCAGCCTGATCCCATCTCCAAACACAAACACTCGCTTGGTTTTGGCTGGGGGCTGCGCTCCGGCCTCCCAGCCCCCGCCCCCGCCCCGTTAATTGGCTGAGACCACCAGAATTTGGAGGACACAGATGTCACTGATAGTTTTCCTAGGGAGCACATTCACGCCCATCTGTTGCAGCTAGAAGGCTGTTCCTGGATCCACAAGGCCTTCATTTAATTCTTGTCAGAAAGTAATGTAAATCCAGTTTACCTCAGAGGTCGCAGCCCAGATTTATGCCAATGAGCCCCCTGCAATTTACACACACTGTAGTTGTATAGGATGAAAAGAAAGCCTTTCATGTGGGTGCATATTAACAAGAAAGCCTGCCTCCGAGAGAGCCTTTCTGATTGAGCTTTCTCCTGATTTTAATACAGCTCATGCCAGTTGGTATACCCAGCTGTAGAAAAAAGAAAAATCTAATCTTTAAACTAAAGTTTCTTCTTTTATAAGACGTGAAAGAAAAAGGGAGAAATCCTAGTGATGGCTCTACTCTTTAATTATCTGTTAGGAGACAGAACTCCCCACCCTCAGAGAAGTCGAGGTGTGCCGAGAAAGCACGTCGCGCCTGGATGACCGGTAGCCTAAGCCTGGGGAGAAACATCAGCAATTATCTTTCAGTGTGCAAGGTCTAGGGTGGACCGGCTGAATTAGCCTCCTGATTTGGCAGCCGTCTCTTTCTAGTAGAGTTAGAGAAAACTGTGGAGTTGGATCCCTTTTATTAAGATGAGGCTAGGGAGGAATGGGCTCATCAGTAAAATGGACCGGTACATGTGTGTTCATTTTATTGGAAGCCTAAGAGCATTTGCAAGGACTTCCATTGATCCTCTCTGTGTATTGGTACATTTGAAATATTCGGGCGGTGTCAGTAGGCTAGAAAGCAAATGGTTTTAAAAACGCCCACAAAGTCTCGCTGAGGCTGTTAGCCTGTTCACATGGGTGAAGGCTTGCTGTGAGGCTCTGCATGGCACGGCCCGCTCTGGGACCATGCTGTGACCACCCTCTGTGCCCTTCTCTTCCCGTGAGTGCATTGCAGGCCCTGGTACAGGAAATACCTTTGCACAGGTGAGCACCGTTCTTGCATTATGACGGCAAGGTGAGCACTTAGAGATGCAGAGAGGCTGTGCACACAACCAAACAGGAAAGAATGACAGCGCAGTCCTTGCTGCCTTCAAAAAGAAGGCCCTAAATTTGACTCCCAGTACCCCCCCAAAGAAAAGAAGGTTTCACTTAAAGTTATTAAAATGTTTATTGAAATGGGGAAAATCTGCTGAGCTCCTCGTCTGGCTTTCAAGCCCTCCCAGGAGGACCTTGTGGGACTCCTGTCAGGGTCGATCTGTAAGCGCAGTCACTCTGAGATCCCACCAGCCTTTCTCCCCCCTCACTGGTCCCTGCAGAATCATACTGCGGCTCAAGTAAGGTCAAAGTTAGGACCTTTTTTCTCCAAGAGAAGTGTAGTAGCTGTTACATCAGTGCTTAAAATTTGATGAAAAAAATATGAGTTATTTCTTTAAATAGATGGGACTATACATTGCTGTCACAGAATCAGTAATCTACCAAGATAGTGTGTCCTGTTTTCAGTGTAATTGTTAGTTTCTTCTCCACAAATCCATAGCAGAGTGGCCACACACATGGCCGCAGTGGATGGAAGTTTACAAGCACATGTTTAGCTCCCACACACAGCTCAAACCAATCATTGAACTTCTGACTCTGTCTTCACATGAAGTCCACATTCCTTCTGTCATCCTCACTGGAACCTTCAAACCGGAAGACGACTAACCTGGTTCTTCAGTCTTCTTTGTCCACAGCACACTTAGCAGTGCCTTTTCCTCTAGACAGCACAGTGGTGAGGAGGGCAGGACAAATGCTCCCACTTGTCTAACCCCAAGTAAGCTCACATCCTGGGCCAGACTGCTGCTCTAGAACTTTTCACAAGTTGAAATATTCACTCGGATTACTCGCCAAAGGACATTGTCTTTGAGTATTTAAATCACTTATTCTGATTGTCTGAGAGCTTTCAAAAGCCCCAAGTATAGTATACAATGAATACTCAAAACCCACTGCCATCAAGGAGCTTGCAAATACAATGCATCCTACTTTATTTTTCAAACTTCTTAGCTCTCAAAGCTAAGCATGAAGGAAAGGGTAGGAAATAAAGTATTTTTGCCAAGAGCAGACTGTGTAAAAGCTAATGTGTTTCACGTGCCCATTTTGCTTTATTTAAAATTTTTTCTGTATCATTGTTAGTTGGTTACTGGCAAATATTCCTTCATTAGGCAGAAGCAAAGAATGGAAGGAACACCAGGTCTCAGCTCGCCATCCTCTGTACTAGAGAAAGGAGAAAATGAGAGTTCTTCCGCTTGAGGAGCTACCAAAGAAAGTAAGCAGAGTGTCTCTGAAACAATACAGTTACCCCAGAATCGGGCCTGCTCTGGGCGCCTTTGCTGCATCACAAGCCGCATTTCCTCCCTAACAGGTGCTTATAGACAGTGCAGAGTCCTGTGCTGCGGCTCGGTGCTCCTTTCCAAATCGGCTGGGGGGAACAGGCCTGCAAGCTGGGGGCCCTGGCTTCCCAGGCCCATCCTGGGCTGTTCAGCCGAGCTCTGCTGAGCACCGGCCTTTGTCTGCTCCCTGGGACACTCACAAGCCACAGAAGGAGCAGAGAAACAAAAACTGAAGGCGCTGTCTCTCCTGCAAACCCCACTTCGGACTTGTTCACCTGGAGCTCACTGAGGAGCAGTAAAATTCTGCTGTGGCCTCCAGTCTGAGAGCCTCAGCTGCTGGGCCACACCGGGTGTCAGGATGCGGACATGGTGGGTGGGTGTGCAGCCCCAGGGAGCACACTTCCGCCCTGCACCCTCGGAACCACAGATCCAAGCAGTTCCCCACTGAAGCTGTCAGCCTTTGTCCCCCAGCCGCGGGAGGTGCCCTGCCAGGTAGTCAGAGCCGCGCGTGGGCTGTGTGTGGGCCCAGAGCTCGGCTGCCAGGCCCCCGCCCAGAGGCCCACGCCTGCACCTTCGATAGCCAAGTCTGAAATAAGTAAGGGCTTTGTGTGGGGTTTGGGAGCAGGAGAGGAGAGGACGGGGCTCTGTCTGCTCTGCAGGCCGTGTGCGCGCACACCAGTCCTGCAGGCAAACAGCTGATTAAGCCCATTTGGTTGCCTGCTATTCCTTTTTCTCTAAAGCAAAAAAAAACACCCACTTCTTTCTCCCTGAAAATATCCAACTGATTCTAATGTTTTACCTCCCTTGCTAGCAGAATTTCTGTTTATGAACTGAATGTAGATCTGAGAACTATGCAGGGAATAACTTCATTATTATATAGCTTTTTATGAGGAAAAAACTTCAACACCCAGAAGATTTTGCATAGCCAAGCAATTTTCTGTCTCTAAAACATAAATGGGGAGGAAAGCAAATCTAACTAAGGAAATGCAGGGAGAAACTGGGCTACTCTTTAAAAAATAACATTTTATTTCTTAAAAATTTTATTTATAACTATAATGGATACCTACCTAGCACAAATTACATGATAAGCAATTTTTGTTTTGCATATATTCATTCAACTGATCCTTATAAATTCTACAGGATTGGCCCTATTTTTACCCCTTTGATGCAGATGAGGAAACCAAGACATGATTTGCCCAATATTCCTTTGCTAGCAAATAGCAGAGGCAAAACTTATGCCTAGGAATCCTTACTGCAAAGTACATGTCTGATTTGTTCCTTTTTTAGTGGTTTTGGGTTTTTGTTTTGTTTTGTTTTTGAGTCAGGGTCTTGCTGTGTAGTCGGGCCTCCTGCCTTGGCCTCTCCGGTGCTGGGATTACAGGTGCGCATCTCAGCTGCCTATTGATGACTAGGACGGTGAAACCATCATTCTTCACTTCTGCACCCTCGTTCTTACTCTTTTCTTCTGAGGCTGTTCCTTGCTGCGCTCTCTCTCACTTCAACATCCACCTGGTTTTATGCAAAATTAACTACCCTGACTGTGGGGATTAGAGCTGGAGATCGGAAATGCTTTGCTGCAAAATTAACCTTAATCCCCACATTTACCGGCCTTGCCAAACGTTTGCAGTGCCTCATTAGGCTGGCAGCTGTGCTCCTCGCCATTTCTGTGCAGGACGCCCGGGCACCAGCCTCCCCGTTCCACCCCACAGACTTGCCGTGCATGTGCTGCTCTGACCCCATCAGCGCGGACTCAGAACAAACAGTCCGGGCTCCTCCCTTCCTCCTTCTGTGACTACTTCCCTTTTGCCAAGCTCTCCTCGCCGAGCTTTGCTCCAGAACTCTGCTCCTACTCATTGCCAAGCAAAGTGACCACACTCTTCCCATCCTCTCGTCGTAGTGGCTTTTCGAAGCGCCACCCCTCTCCTGTGCCTCCATGGCTCAGACTTTGGGGGGCAGATCTGCCTCCTGGGGAGGACAGCTCAAGTTGATGTCCTCCCTCACTGACAAAGTCTCTTTCCTGCCGGTGCCCCGCTCCTGGTATTGTGGTGGCTCAGGACTTGGGGACAGTGGTGCGAGTACATGTGAGTGTGCCTCTGACATTTGGGTGCAGAAATGCAAAGAAAATGCTCTTGATAACGCCACTTGGAAGCCACAAGGGCAGGGCCCGGAGCCAGGGCCAGATGGCAGGCTCGCCTCACCTTGACCTGCAGTCGCTCCCCGCGCCACCCCAGGTCACCTGGCTGATGGAGTGGGTAACTGTAGCCACGGAGCAGTGGCGGCGGCCTGCAACCGTAGCCTTTTCCTCCCTTCTTTCTTCCTGAGGCCGCAGGTAGCCCTCCGGTGACCCGGAACACTCCCGGGCACTTCCATGCAGAGCTGAGTTTGGTAAACACGGCTCCCGGAACTGGAGAGCCCGAGGCAGGGCAACGGTGACAGAGGCAGGGACAGCTCTGGGCTCCGGTTCCGATTCTCCCGCTCTGATGGGGTGTGGCCCCCAGCGGACATCTCCAGATGCGAGAAACAGCAAGGAAGTTAGTTTCACGTACAGAACTTTCAAGTTTGCTTTCTTAGAGTTTTAAAAAATCTAAACATACTTCTTCATCTATGTAAATGGGTGAGAAGACGACTTTCTTGGGAACCTGGAGTTTGGTAACGATGGCTCAAGCCGCCTGTGTCCTCAATGATTTCTGTACCCAAGCTGACTCACAGATCTCCAGGCAAGAGGACAGACCCCTCCTCACCAACTTGGCGTCTTTCCTCAGTTAAAACCTGCTTCCTCACCTCTCCCCACCCAACTACTCCAAATCCTTCCCCTCTAGAACTCTCTGAGTTATAAATATATAGATATATGTGCCCAATAGGTTGGTCAGCACCTATGAATGTTATACAAGTATTCATCTGCAATTCCTCTTCCATTGCTAAGACTCACCGGTATGGTTACCTGTAACTGCCGTTTATTCATTTGTTGGCTTATTCTAGTCCAGTGTATGAACTTTCTGCTTTACCACTTAAGAACTTGTAGGTTGTTCCTTTTGTTTGCTTGTTACATTTTGTTCACTGCATTCTTACACGCCCACGCTCATGTCCCCCAGTGGGCAGTGCTCACGGTGTGTGCACCTTTGCCTAGACTCCAGAGTGCCAACTCAGAGTTCCAGGACAGGTGGGCAGGAGTGAACAACACGGACTGCTCTTCACAACACTCGATTTGAAAAATGTTTATCCAGTTAAAAGTTTTTTTTCCTAATCAAGAAGGTGTAAACAGTTTCTCATCATGGTACAAGCTTATATTTCTGGATTACTGAGTTGGACACTTTCGTATGTTTATTGACAATTCCTTTTCCTCTTGTGTGTTGTTTTTGTTCAAGTCTTTTGCGCGTTTTTTCTTTTGTGTTTTCTTTCATTGATTTATAGGAATTCTTTATATATTCTGGATGAAAAGTTTTTTTGTCAGTAACCAAAGTTACAAATACTTTCTTCCACTTGAAGATTTTTCTTTTTCACTTGCTTTATGGTGCCTTACAAATCAGAAGTTCATTTTTTTAAATTAATTACATATATAATCTTTTATGAGTAGCAATCTTTTTTTGCAAATGTTTAAAATTTTCTCTAAAGTTGTTAAGAGCATTCTCTTTTACATTTGACCTTAAACAAAAGTCTGAGAAGCTATACAACATGCTTTTAGATGTGTCTTTTAGAGAGCAGTTTCACTTTTCAGGTGTAATTTTAGTATTGATTTTTTAAAAACAAGCCAACTATCTCATTACTGTATACAGAGCTCTGTAATAAACCAACTGTCCACATGTATATGTCTCTCATTGGACTCCCTGTCTTATTTATAAGGTTGACTTGTCTCGGCACCGAAAGCTTTCATATAATTTAATTGAATTTTATATTAATGATTGACACTTGGAATACTATGCTCCTTTTCTCTCGACATTTTTTCTCCAGAGTGTTTTGATTATTCTTTTTTCTTCTCATTGAGTTTATTGGTACTTTTTAAGTATTCAGTACAGTTATATTCATCATTGGGATCTTATACCTTTACATGACAGATCTTGGTTCTCATTTTCTCCCCATTCCCTGACCTCCCTTTACCCACTCTAAATGTCTTTTCTAAATGTCAATTTTCCCTCTAAATGTCTTTCAAATTTATTATAAAAATTAATTATTCTTAAGTTCTTCATATACATGTGACTTTTTTTATACCTTACATATTTTACACCATTGTTGTTCATTTTTATTAAATTACATTTCTGATTATTTATTCCTTAACATACTGCCAAAGATTCAATTTTTGGTTTGTTGATTGATCAGTAAAAATTCATCGCAAAAATTATATGATCCTAGTGTTTTCTTTATAAGAAAAAATTTAAACTTATTTCTTTCATAGTATAGAATAGTATAGTTTTCTATTTCTTCTTGATCTTTAAGTTACATTTTATAGAAATTACTCTTTTTTAAAGTTTTTTAATTGACCGATATACAACACCTCCAATATTTCGTTGGAATCCTCTCATCAAATTTTCATACCTATTTCTATTTATTTGTCCTCTGTCTCTCAATCAAGTTTGCCAGAAGTTTGTTATTTTGTTTGCTTTTCTAAAAGTCAACATCTTATTTTGTTGATCGTCCTGTTGAATGTTTGTTCTTCTACTTCAGCAATTCTTGCTCTCTTTTCTTGTTTTCTTTTAGTTTATTTTTCTATTCATTTCCTTACTTTGGTTATGCGAGTTTAACTTGATGTCGCATCACCCTTCTATTCTGACTGAATTCCACACATTTTGGTAGGCCGCATTAACATTTCATTGTAGCATTTCCTAATTCCCCATAATAAGTGCTTCTTTGGACCCTCCGTTATGGAGAAATGTGTCTCTAACTTCCCATGGACATGGGGTTTTATTCTAGTCACTTTTTGTTATTTATTACCAACTTCTTT